CATTCTTATAGCAGTTCATGGTATACTCAATATTTTTCACCAACACCATAATCGAAAGGCATCAATTCTTCTTTGGTCTTCTTTATTTATTGTCCAGCTTTCACATGCATATGAGGTGATTGAAAACACCATGGCTTGGGTCAGGCACACTTTAGTTCTTAAAGTGACATCTTTGCTTTTTAACACTTTAAAGAGGTCTTTTGCAGCAGATTTGCCCAATGCAATGCATCTTTTGATTTCTTGACTGCTGCTTCCATGGGCATTGATTGTGGATCCAAGTAAAATGAAATCCTTGACAAATTCAATCTTTTCTCTGTTTATCACGATGTTACTTACTGGTCCAGTTGTGAGGATTTTTGTTTTCTTTATGTTGAGGTGTAAGCCATATTGAAGGCTATGGTCTTTGATCTTCATCAGTAAGTGCTTCAAGACCTTTTCACTTTCAGCAAGCAAGGCTGTGTCATCTGCATATCGCAGGTTGTTAATGAGTCTTCCTCCAATCCTGATGCTGCCTTCTTCTTCATATAGTCCAGCTTCTCAGATTATTTGCTTAGCGTGCAGATTGAATAAGTATGGTGAAAGGATACAACCCTGACACGTACATTTCTTGATTTTAAACTATACAGTATCCCCTTGTTCTGTTCGAACAACTGTCTCTTGGTCTAATCGCAGGCTCCTCCTGAGCACAATAAAATGTTCTGGAATTCCCATTCTTCAATGTTATTCATAATTTGTTATGATGCACACAGTCAAATGCATTTGCATAGTCAATAAAACACAGGTAAACATCTTTCTGGTATTCTCTGCTTTCAGCCAAGTTCCATCTGATGTCAGTAATGATATCCCTGTTCCACGTCCTCTTCTGAATCTGGCTTGAATTTCTGGCAGTTCCCTGTTGATGTACTGCTGCAACAACTTTTGAATGATCTTCAAAAAAATTTTATCTGTGTGATATTAATGATATTGTTCAATAATTTCCACATTCTCTGGGATGACTTTTCTTTGGAACGGGTACAAATATGGATCTCTTCCAGTCAGTTGGCCAGGTAGCTGTCCTCCAAATTTCTTGGCATAGACGAGTGAGCACCTCCGGTGTTGCATCCTTTGGTTGAAACATCTCAGTTGGTATTCTGTCAATTCCTGAAGCCTTGTTTTTCACCAATGCCTTCAGTGCAGCTTGGACTTCTTCCTTCAGTACCATCGGTTCTTGATCATATGCTACCTCCTGAAATGGTTGAACGTCAACCAATTCTTTTTGGTATAGTGACTCTGTATATTCCTTCCATCTTCTTTTGATGCTTCCTGCTTCATTTAATATTTTCCCCGTAGAATCCTTCAATATTGCAACTCGAGTCTTGAATTTTTTCTTCAGTTCTTTCAGCTTGAGAAATGCTGTGTTCTTCCCATTTGGTTTTCTATCTCTAGGTCTTTGCACATTTCATTATAATACTTTACTTTGTCTTCTCGAACTGCCCTTTGAAATCTTCTGTTCAGCTCTTTATTCATTATTTCTTCCTTTCACTTTTGCTACTCTACTTTCAAGAGCAACTTTCACAGTCTCTTCTGACATCCATTTCAGTTTTCTTTCTTTCCTGTCTTTTTAATGACCTCTTGCTTTCGTCATGTATGATGTCCTTGACGTAATTTCACAACTCCTCTGGTCTTTGTTCATTAGTCAAATTTATTCTTGAGATAGTTTCTAAGTTCATGTGGGATATACTCAAGGTCATACTTTGGCTCTCGTGGACTTATTCAAATTTTCTTCAAATTCAATTTGAACTTGCTTATGAGCAATTGATGGTCTGTTCCACAGTTGGCCTCTGGCCTTGTTCTGACTGATGATATTGAGCTTTTCCATCGTGTCTTTCCACAGATGTAGTCAATTTGATTCCTGTTTATTCCATGTGGTGAGGTTCACATGTATAGTTGCTGTTTATGTCGATGAAAAAAGATATCTGCAATGAAGAAGTTGTTGATCTTGCAAAATTCTATCATGTGATCTCCGGCATCATTTCTATCACCAAGGCCGTATTTTCCAACTACTGATCCTTCTTCATTTCCAGTTTTCTCATTCCAATCACCAGTAATTATCAATGCATCTTGATTACATGTTTGATCAATTTCAGACTGCAAAAATTGGTAAAAACTTCAATTTCTTCATCTTCGGCCTTAGTGGTTGGTGCATAAATTTGAATACTAGTCGCATTAACTCGACTTCCTTGCAGGCATATGGATATTATCCTATCACTGACAGCGTTGTACTTCAGGATAGGTCATGAAATGTTCTTTTTGATGATGAATGTGACACCATTCCTCTTTCAATTTGTCATTCACGGCACTGTAGACCATATGATTGTCTGATTCAAAATGGCCAATATCAGCCCACTTCAGCTCACTAATGCCTAAGATATCAATGTTTATGCATTCTATTTCATTTTTTATGACTACCAATTTTCCTAGATTCATACTTTGTATATTCCATGTTCCAATTATTAATGCTAACTGCTGAAAATGTTTTTCTGTTACAGGAGTGTCTAGAAAGCCTAATCATCCACTTACAGGGGAGAAGATGGGCTGTAAATCCCCATAAGGTGCAGGGGCCAGGAACGTCAGTAGCATTCCTAAAAGTAGTCTGGTCGGATAAGACCTGTGTGTTCTCTGAAGCCGTAGTTAATAAGATACAAGCTTATCCCACCCCTAGGACGCCAAAGGAAGTACAGGACTTCATGAGTCTTTGGGGGTATTAGAGAGAATTTATTTCCTACTATCGACTGGTAAAAAAAGGGTGCCTCTGGACACTGGAGTAACAAACAGCAGCAAGCTTTTGAGAAAACACAGGTGTTAATTACACAAGTGAAAGCACTGGGCACAATACGGGAAGGGTTACCTTTCTGGTTAGATGAGTACGGCTTTAGCTGGGCTTTCTGGCAAGATCAGGATGGAACTGAAGCCCCCCCCCCCTAGGTTTTTGGTCCTAATCGTGGAGGGGGGCAAAAAATTGATATAGTTCCATGGAGAAACAATTGTAGTGGCCTATGACATTCTCCGCCAGGTGGAGTCATTAACAGGGGCAGGAGCTGTCACCCTTCACACTGCTTTGCCCATAAATGAGTGGGTCAATGGGCTGTTTTCCAAGCCATCATCAGCTGTTGCCCAGACAGCTACACTGACCAAATGGCATGCATACCTGCAACAATGCAGTGCCTTTTCTGCCAGTCCATTGTCCCAAGCGTTACAGGCTGTACTTAGTCCAGTAATAGATAAAGATGACCCCCCAGCACAGGCTAGCAAGCTGCTAGAGCCACCTCCCCTCTCCTCTAAGAGAGGGGAAGACCCACTGCCAGCAGATGCCTGGTACACAGATGGCTGTAGCTGAGGTATGCCCCCACTATGGACAGTGGTGGCTGTGCAAGCCTCCGCTGATATCATTTGGTTTGACACTGGCTCAGGGCAAAGCAGTCAACGGGCTGAATTAAGGGCTGCGTGGATTGTCACCCTCCATGAACCCTGGCCCTTAACCATGTGTACAGACACTTGGGTGGTAGCCTGTGGGCTAACTATGTGGATAGACCAATGGCATAAAGAGCAATGGACAATAATGGGTAAAGTCCTGTGGGGGAAAGCCTTGTGGTAGGACATCTGGGATTGCCTATAAACCCGGATGCTGACCTAACTGTTTTCATGTAACAGTCCATGCACCCCTTTCCCCACTGGGAAACCAAGAAGCAGACGCTGTAACACAAGTTAGAATGGTGCATCCCAAAGAGAAATCTGCCCACTAAATTCATCATAAAAATAGACACCATAGTACTCGTGTTGGTTAGAAAATAGCCAAAGAGACAGGCATAGCAGTAAAGTATAGCAATCTGGTAGATGCTGTACAAAATTGTCCTGTGTGCCCACGTCAATGCCCAAGGTTTCTGCCTCGTGATCCTGGGGAGACACATAAGAAAACAGAGCCAGTGATGGACTAGCAGGTAGATTACATAGGGCCTCTACCCCCCAGTGAAGGAGCAAAGTCCGCTCTAGTTTGTGTGGACAGTATCACTGGCTTGACACAGGTGTTCCCATGTAAACGAGCAAACCAGGCAGCTACAATAAAGGGGTTATAAAAATTGAGTATTATGTATGGGATACCCCAAAGGGTTGACAGTGAGCAGGGGACACAGTTTACATGTCACAATATGTGTGACTAGGCAGCTGAGAAGGAGGTACGATGGCATTACCACCTGCACTACAACCCCCAGGCCATGGGCCTGGTGGAAAGGAAGAACGGTGTCGTAAGACGACAAATACGAACCTCACAGGCAAGGCTTCCCTGGTAGGGTGGGCCAAGGTGCTGCCCTTGATAAACTCAGCTCCCACTGGGACTTTAGTCTTGTATGCCAGACTAGGAGCCCCAAGTTACCCTCCAGCAACGATCCAAGTGATGTCACAGGCTCCAGAAGTGTATCCACCAAGGTTGTCACTGGAACGAAACAGCATGGTCCTCCGGACACCCCAGGACCTGGCACTGGGAAGTGTAACTATCTATTGGCACCTGTCATGGGTCACTCCACTGGTGTGATTGGTTACTTTGTCCCTGTGGAGGTGGAAGAACTGGTTGGCCTAACGTGGGAGCCCACTATGCTACTGCACAGAGAGCCTTGGCAGTCACGCTTCACATGGAAAGGAACGACAGCTATACCACCAAGGATGGAAGTGTGTCTCCTTTTCTGGGATTCAGCACAATGGGTGACTACTCACAACCCCTCAGGTGACCTCCTCGGGACAGCACGTATGGTACACTCAGCCAGGAAAAAAGCCTATAGCAGCCATTGTTCTCACTACCTGCGGGGAAGGAAGCCACTAGTGTGAGCCTAATAGAAGGGGAAGATTTAGCCCTTTAGTACCTACTAAACACCTGTCTTTCCAACTGTAGGTATGGCCTACTCTGCTTTCTTCCCTTCGGGGCTGCCCATCTCTTCCTAGAGTGGGCTGACAGCTTCGCGGAAGTCCACAACAAAAGCAGCTGCTGAGTCTGTGGACAACTCCCCTTCTCAAGCACAAAAGGCAAGCCTTGGAGGGTGGGGCCCTTGACCAGAACTGATCAGGCAGCTGTGAGAGACATGAGAGGGGAATGGAAGCCTCTTTAACTAATTAAGGTATAACAGAGAGGAGAGGCACAACATCACCTTTTCTTGGACTCAAACTGTCATGAACACCCGCATCTGAGTAAGAGACTGCAGAGCTCTTGGTGTGCGGCCACGAGAGGGTATTAACCACTTCTGGGATGGTTTAGGTTGGCTGGTACCTGAACAAAGTGTACTAGAGAAACCTGCTTCTGTCTGTTTTGAACCAAAGGAAACCCAATGGGTCCCCCTGCCTTCCCCCTAAATCCCCCCTCCCCCGTCTCCCTCCAAGTCCTCTGCCCATATTGTGGGCTGGATTCCTGCGTCCCATTGCCAACGAGTGATAATAATTACTACTACTAATTACAATATAAACACCCCAATTGGGAGACAGGAATATATCTTGCTCCCCACGGCACCCGATGGCTGTGTGGCCCCTACCTGTGGCCCCGGTTACCGTAAGATTGGATAGCACACTGCACTTTGGTGTTACCCTATTCTATAGGGACCTTCAAGAAAACTATACCAAAACCTCTAAATTACCCCATAGCAAAAGCCAGGGGACCAAGCATGGTCTTTTCCACTGGTATGATTACCTTCTAACTGTTTTTGTCCACCTCCCTGCCCTGGGCTCCTTAGAAGTAATGGGACAAATTGAAGCTTTAGCTAATTTTACTAAACATGCCCTAAATGACAACAGAGAAAACTTGTGGCTACTGACAGCCAAAACCACTCAAAGGAGGAAGGTAGTCCTTCAGAACCAAATGGGCATTCTAACAGCTATTCAAGGCTGGGCATGTGCCATAGTAAAGACTAAATGTTGTACCTACATACCAGACTACTGCCAGAACATAACTGATCTGTTAGGCCACATGAAAAAATAAATAAAAGCCCTGGACACACCTAAAGGCTGGTCTGCTGTGACCACCTGGTTTTCCTCTTTCTCCTCCAGTTGGCATGATGTTTTGATGGGTCTTGGTATTTTCCTGGGTATAGGAAAATTGTCTGCTTTGTGTGTCTATACTGCTGGTGTGGTCTGTGCCTCCAACTACAGCAACACCGTCTGTCCCTACAGTGACACCTCCTTTCGGGGCCCAGAGACTTTATAGAAGAGAGGAAATGTGTCAGATTGTAAGAACTGGCCTGGAGGGGTAGGCTGAAGTGGAAAACAGGTAAATAACCTAAATGACCAATAACCTTGGAATATTATTTTAAAATTCTCAAAGAAAACCTTCCCTACACCCTCGTAAAGGCTTCCAGGTACATGATTTTCTTGTTGAGTTCTCTCCAACTTTCAAGAAATAGATAATTCCTGTGTCATTTATAGTTTCCATAGAGGAGGACAGCATAGTCTTGCTGTCTAACCTGAGCGAGAACACACACACACACAGAGTATAGATTAATTTCACTTATGAAAAGATGAAAAGACACCCAAATTATAAATAAAATACCCACTGAATGAACCAACAATATATTATGAGACTACTCTACTATCATCAAGCAGGGTTTGCCATAGAAAGACAGAATGCAAGGATGGTTTCATATCAACACATCTAATAATACAAAATAGCACTTAAATAGGCAAGGGAGGAAAACTTACACCATTTCAATAAATGTTATGAAGGTATCTGATAAACACACAATAACTTTTTCTGACTTACCAATATAATAAAAATCAAAATTAAGAATCAAATTTTAGCAAATTATAAACAAAGATATTTTAATATGATTATAGTTAAATAGCAATGATCTCAACTACCGAAAGTTTCTTGGGAAACACTGGAATCATTTGCATCAAAGTTGGGCACAAAACAAACACCAGCTCCTGTGTCTCCTGTGCTCTGCAAACATCTTTTTCACAGTATCCTATCTAATTCTTCCCCAACCTGGACGTTACAGGGATGCTGGATAAACGAGAAAGAGTGAAGGTAGAAAAAGTGGGAAATTATAGCCAGAAGCATTTTAATCTGCCAGACTCACTTACTGAGACAAGGGCCGCAAAGAAAATAGACACAGATGGCTGGGAAGAGGGAAATGCCCTGGCTCTGGGCAGGTCACCTGTCAACAGCCATGCTGGCCTTACCAAGGCAATGGAGAAGTCAGTGTGATAAGACCCTAGGTCGGATTGAGGCTGAACTGTCAGCATTGGGTAGAGTCTCCATCTGACACAGAATTACCCATGAACTCTGCAGACATATAGACTGCTGGCCCACCTCCCATAACTTTGATTTAGTAGGTCAGGGAGAGCTAAGGCTCAGGATTTATAAAGTTTCCCAACTGATTCTGACGTCCAGTGAAGGTTAGGAAGCAGATTCAGAGAGGTTGGGTGCTTTGCTTAAAGTCACACATGAAGCAGGACACAAATCAGGCAACTGCCTCCATTGTGCCTTGCTCCTCACCACTGAGCCACACCAGCAGACAGGGGCTTCTCAATGTTAACGTTTTCTGATTCTGTGAGATGAACTGGGCCTTTGAGGGCTCTGAAACATCCATCTGTACAAAAGGAAGCCAATATCAATCATCCAGCTAAGTAAGTTTAATAACTTAATTCTGGATTGTGGAGCCTTTCTCAAAGCAAAGTTTGGGCAACCTCTGCTCTATTAGGTATGCCAGAAGCGCATGTAATGCAAGAGCCCCTGAAATCTTAGCAAGTGCCCTCTCTGAAGTGATACAGAACCAGGCACTCTCCCTCAATCATCTATGGAGGTGTCTCTTCCAATGTGACATCACTTTGCATATGGTAAACATTCTTTTCCAAAGCTGCCTATACACTTCCCCAGACTGCTTACTGCTCTTGAATGAGAGGTGTTTATCATCTCAGCATTCAGACACAGCCCCCTTCATGAGGGCTGGCGGTCACAGTTCAGGCTGGGACAGGTAGCAGAATCCACTCCCTTTTCTATTTCTGCTCCAGGGCTTTGATTTATTGGTATCAAAGTTCTTAAATTCAATGATATTGGCTGTCGGCACAGTCACCTTCTGTCACCTCTGTTATCTGCTGCCATATGGTATGTTTTCATAACTGAACCACACAGGATTCATATCTCTGCTTTGTTGAGCTCCACCTATTCTGAAGAACACATTTGGCTCCCAAGGTGAATCATTTCTAATGAATTAACCTTTTAGAAGATTAAAGGATTTGGTTAAGGGCCAGAAACCACAATGGTGCTGAGTGCTGAGCTCTGAGTGCCACCAGACAGCATGCACACAGCCCATTCCTCAGTGGAAAACTTAAATGTTCTTTCACTATAGAATGGGGACACAGACGAAATTTCAATCACTCAGCCTGACTCACATTGGTGACTGTGTTGTGAACATTTACCATTTATAATTTTGCGTTGTCCAATACTGAAGTCACTAGCCACATGTGGCTATTTAAATTTAAATTAAATTAAAAGTTCAACCCCTCAGTTGCACTAACTACATTTCAAATAATCAATAGGCACCTGTGACTATTAGCGACTGTATTGAACAGTGCCGAGAGAACACTTCTATCATTGCAGAAAGTGCTATGGGACAGTTCTGATCTATTTAATGAGGATAATAATATCTACCTCACAGGACTTATGGTAATTAAAAGAGATGTTGTATGTAAAGTGCTTGGCATAATACCTAACACATGTACACACTTAATAAATGGGATTTATTATTATTATTATCCATACAATAAAAATTCTACTAAAAAGAAATCACTCTCAGTACCAAATTTAGTTTGGGAAGCTATCACACAGATACTGCCCACATGTAAGTGCAATGCTCACTGTTGTCCCTTGCACTGAGCCTGATAAAGAGTTGTATTCTGTCAGTGCCATTTTCTTACCACATTGTCACAAGCTGTCGCAGAACCTGATTTAGGAGGCTAAAAGTGTTGGAAATTTTCTAAAGAAAGAGAGACAGACACACACACACCAAGAGGGAAAGAGAGAGAGAGGAAGAACTGAGGACTATGGAACAACTTGTCCATGCTAGGCATAAAAAGCTGAGCCTGATTCTCACACCCATAATTTTTGGGCTATTGTTGAATGCATCCAACTTGGATGAATACTCAAGGAAGAATGATGTCCATGGTGGGGTTTAGCAGTTGCCTGGAGTGTCGTACTTCCCATTGTCTAGAAAAGCCTAGAATGTGGCAATGGTCTAAGGAGCCGTTGGGGCAGCATTAGTGGTTATACATCATGTATCACTTTGGGCAGGTAGCTCAGTTCTCTGTTTCTGTTTCTTGTCTGTAAAATGGGAATAATAATAGTCCTCCTCATAGTTATTGTTAAGATTAAATGAGTCAAAGCACCTAAAGCCAGGCTTCCCTTATAGTCGTATATGTAAGTGCTGGCCATTATGATCAGGGTTAGGCCAGGCTGGCTGTGGGTTCTCTTCCAAGACTCTTTCAGTCACAGCTGTAAGCTGTGGCAGTTAAGGTCCTCCCAGTGTTGAATGGGTAAGTACACTGGCCTTCTCTTCTACATCCCACTTGGTAAACAGGTCAGTCCAAAGTTTCTCTATTGTACATGTTGCTGTTGTGTGTTGTCAAGTTGATTTTGACTCATAGCGACCCTATAGGACAGAGTAGAACTGATGAATAGGGTTCCCTAGGCTGAAATCTTAACAGGAGCAGATCACAAGTTCTTTCTCCTGCAGAGCAGCTGGTGAGTTTGAACCACCAACCTTCTGGTTAGCAGCCATGCACTTAATCATTGTGCCACCTTTCTGTTTCACATATGAAACTTAAAATCTGAGTCAGGCCTGTAGATAGAGTCATTCATTCATCCATTCACTCATTTATTCATTCATCCAAATCCTAACATAGTCACTATTAGGTACACAAGCCCATGTAAGGCTACAAATCTGTCCCAAGTTAGGGTAAGAAGTGTCACCTCCAGAACTCGATGTTTTGATTACTCTTTCCCACAGGAAGAACGGAATTATATGTCCACAGGCCAGATAGATGCTTTTTAAAAGCAAGAATCGCATAGTCTCTTAACAAGCATTATCAGATAATACCTTTTCTTTATACCCTGACATGGCTTTGTCAAAAGCGTTCAGTAGAGTGCTTGGCATTTAATCAGTGCTCATCACAATTGCTATCATTATCATTAGCTTACTAGACAAAAGACCTCTTTAAAGTGTTAAAAAGCAAAGATGTCACTTTAACGACTAAGGTGCACCTGACCCAAGCATGGTGTTTTCAATCATCTCGTATGCGTACGAAAGCTAAGCAATGAATAAGGAAGACCAAAGAAGTGATGCCTTTGAATTATGGTGTTGGCAAAGAATATTGAATATACCACGGACTACCAAAAGAACAAAAAAATCCATCTTGAAAGAAGTACAACCAGAATGCTCATCAGAAGCAAGGAAGGTGAGACTTTGTCTCACATACTTTGGACATGTTATCAGGAGGGATCAGTCCCTGGAGAAGGACATCATGCTTAGTAAAGTAGAGGGTCAGCAAAAAAGAGGAAGACCCTGAACGAGATGTATTGACACAGTGGCTGCAACAATGGGCTCAAGCATAACAAAGACTGTGAGAATGGCACAGGACTGGGTAGTGTTTCGTTCTGTTGTACATAGGGTCGCTATGAGTCGGGAGCGACTCGACAGCACCTAACAACTACAATCTTTACGTGAGCAGATCGCCAGATCCTTCTCTCACAGAGCTGCTAGGTGAGTTTGAACCACCAGCCTTTCAGTTGGCAGCCAAGCGCTTAATCTTTGCAGTAGTTCTAGATAAATCAGCTGGGCTTACCTTGCTGGAAGTTGTAGTTAGTAGGGTGTGGGAATCAGGGTAGTTTGAATGTTGCTCTGCAATACCTCTCTAATTTTACAGCTGATGTCTGAAATTCTTTTTTAGGTGATCAAGCCTTTATAAGATTGAGAATATAAATATAACTAAGAGAGGCAAGGCAATCATTTAAATTCATTCTATAGCATAAATGACTGACATGTTATCTTCCCTTTGAGTAAATTCTAACAGGGAAGGAGAAAAGAATATAAATAAAGACAGGGATATCTGAAGAGAAAAAAGGACAAGGAGAACTGATTGGGCTCGATTATGGAAGTAGAAGGGACCCTAGACACCAGCTACTACAATCTTCATCCTCATGGTTTCTTGTCTTTCAGGTGAGAAAACCCAGGCATTTAATCTAGTGACTTGCTCAATATTAGAACTGGCTAGAGAACCCAGGGCTCCTGGATCCTGGTACAGGGTCTTTCCATCCTACTGAGTGATTCAACACTGTTATAGAGAAACCGGATGAATTTCATTCCCCTTCCAGTTTGGTTCAGGCCATCCCTGAACACCGGGTCTCTGCCCATTTTCCCTCCAGTGGGAGGTGCTGTGGCAGGCAGCTCAGAGGGCAGCAGAGCTGAGAGTGCTCCTGGGGGCTCACTCACCCTTGGGAGCTTCCACTCAGGGCTGGGAGGCCTTTTTCCTGGAGCAGCTGTAGGCCTATGGAAGAAGCCATGGCAGGGAATGTTTCATCCTCAAACAGCTGGTCGCTGCTCAGGCAACGATCCTGCAAGTATTTAAAGTCCTGGTCCTTGAACTTTATGACCGAGGTCTTTGCTAGAGGTTCTGGGTTACGAGCCATGGCTCTCCTTAGAAGATGACTGAGGTGTTCTCCTTCTGTAGAGAAAAAGGGATATGTTTAAGTATGAGCCATCAAATCCTCTGCATCATCAGATATGAGCCCTGGAAGGGCACTCAGATGCCCCGCACTTACACGTGAAGAGACTGAGATCCGCATACGTACTGTCCCTGTTGACACAGCCAATTGGCAGTCAAGCCTGGACTAGAATTCAGGCGTCCTTACTCCTAGTTCAGCTTTCAACCTACTGTACCGTATAACTTCTCTCTATGCTCTTATGTGCACAAGAGGATATGGGAGCATTTGTGTATTTAATGAACATTTATTGAATACTGACCTTATGCCAGGCACTCTTCGAAATGCGGGCAATACAAAAACAAATATGGCACGACCTTTATCCCCCAGGAGTTCTTTATCAAGTGGAAAAGATAGATTAGACATTTCAACAACTAGCTATTATTGAACAAACACTGTTCAGTGAAAAATGTGTACAAAGTCCTGTGGATGTAAAGAGGAGGAGCCATAAACTGCCAGAAGAGTCTGGATGACTTTCCTGGAGGCAGCTGCATCTGAATCAGGTCTTGAAGGAAGAATAAAAAATTGCCAGGTGGAGAAGTGAAAGATAGATTTAAAAGAAAAAATCCCTCTAGGTGTCCTGAGTACAAGTGTGCATAAAGACCCAGGAGTTGGATTGGAAAGATCATGGGTGTTGGAGGGGTTGGGGTGTGGTGGGAGGCATTGGGAGCAGCGGAGAGTTAAGAATAGGGAGTGCTGGCAGAGATGGCCATAATGGTGGTCTGGAAAGCTGGATTATGCAACGTTTTATGTTCTGCAGGTACTGCAAGGCCATTGAAAAGGTGAGGCATGATTCAATCTGTGTATAGGTTGGTGCTGCTGGGAGAAAGTTGGATGTCAGATGGAGGGGATGGGGAAGGCCTAGACATGGGGAGGTGGCCAGAAGGCTACTGCATTTGTCCCCATGAGAGATGGTGATTGAGCACTGGAAGTGAAGATGGTGGAGAGGAGACAGATTCCAGAGTTATTTAATAGCTAGATTCAATAGGATTAGATAAGGAATTGAATATGGGGAAGGGGGGGAAATGAAAAGGCAGTGCAGTAATGATCAGATGGGTTTTGGAGTCTACTATCTGCTTTCATTACCTTCCTACTGGTTCTGCAACATTGCACTAGTAGTCAAGCCTTGTGAACCTACATCTCCATCTATATAGATTGATGATACTAACCTCACAGAGTTTGATGTAGGTATTAAATGAGGTTTGACCTAACATGCCAATCACAGTGGCCAGCATACAGTTGTTGTTGTTGGTTGCTGTCAAGTTGATTCCAACTCATGGTGATTCCATGTGTGCAGAGTAGAACTGCTCCATACAGTTTTCAATGTTGTGACCTTTTGGAAAGATTACCAGGCCTGTCTTCCAAGGTGCCTCTTGGGTAGGTTCAAACTGCCAATATTCTACCTAGTAGTCAAGTGCTTAACCATTTGCGCCACCCAGGAGGCCTGGCATACAGTAGGAATTCAATAAATGTTAGCATCTTAATTTCCCTTTAGAGATGTCAAGGAATGCTGAGGTTTCTTGTTTAGGTTGTAACCTATGCCTTTTACCAAAATATGCACCCGCATCCTGCATGTATGAGTCAGGCAGACCTGGATCTGAATCCTGAGTCTACACTGCCTTAGTCATCTAGTACTGCTACAACAGAATTACCACAAGTGGATGGCTTTAACAAAGAGAAATTTATTTCTTCACAGTAAAGTAGGCTAAAAGTCCAAATTCAGGGCATCAGCTCCAGGGGAAGGCTTTCTCTATCTGTCGGCCTTCTTCTCATCAGTGTTCCCCTGGACTAGGAACTTCTCCGGCCAGGGACCCCAGGTCCAAAGTATGCGCTATGCTCCTGGCACTGCTTTCTTGGTGGTATGAGGTCCCCCTGTCTCTCTGCTCACTTCTCTCTTTTATATCTCAAGAGATAGCCTCAGGAGGACTCCGGCAAGATGGCGGTCTAGGCAGAAGCACCACGCCGTCCCTCCACAACAAAGATCCGAAAAACTAAGCCAAACAGAGAATCAACAATCCTGAAACCC